TATGTTCCTCGCTTCGATGAGATGTTACTCTTGGTAGGCGGGTGTGTGTTTCACTTTCAAACTCTTTGTAAGGGTGCTTCATAGCTACCAGATAGGTTCCCTGATTTCATATCCAAGGCAGCCTCATTCCGATTGCCAAGTAAGGAGTTTATTTCAATTTGCTCAAAACTCTTGTTTTGATGTGTCAATTCAGGTTTAAAAGGGGAAATTTGAAGTTCAATTTACAAATTTACAATTTGAGCTTACAAATAAGGATAAGTGATGGAAGTACCGCCGAATAGGGGCGGTCAGGAGCAAAGTATCGGTTTAGGATTCGGTGGGTTAAAGGCAAAAGGAGAGAAGTCGTTTTGGATTATGGCCTGACACAACATGCTCATTGATGGGGATGGACTTATTAATAGGGAAAGCGGATTACTTGCAATAGCACATGACTGTGGCACTGATCTTGGCCAATTGTTGTTTCACTGAAGAAATTTGCCCCTCCCCTCGGCTGCCTTTGTTGGATTCATCCTGCCCTCCTGCCCTGACGTTCTCAAAGGGAAGGGGGATCGGAATCTGCTCGTTCTGGATAGATGTTTGTGGTAGCTGGTGAGTTTGTTGGGTGCCATTCTTCCCTTAACCAAAATCCACCATTTTGTGGGTCTCCTATGTTGACACATACCCATCTAGGTGTGTCTCCCCCTTGTCTGTGACAAGCAAACCGTTGGAACCCGACTCGACAAGTTGTTTTTCCTGCAATCATAATCTGTTGTGCGAGACCTACCATTGCTGTTTGTTTTGTCTACCCAGGGCAAATAGGCTTCTATCAAATAGTCTTTATGCTTTGCTGCTGTCAGGGTCGTGCATTTGTTTGGCATATCTGAGAATCAAGCATGCGGTGAGTTTTACATGTCCCCATATATGGAGCTTGTGTTTAGGATTTATTGGTTTGAACATGTTTTCTTGCCTGAAGGGATCCTAGGGGTCCGAGTCTTCTAATCCCCCAACCACAAAACACCGAATCAACGAGTAGGGGACTCGGTTCGTCGCAGGTTACCTGAACCGCAGCGGCGCGCACTGTGAGAGTTGGCAGTGGCAGCAAGGCCTCAGCTGCTGGCAGGGCGAACTCTTCCTCGCCCATGACCGATGCGAGAAGGGCGGACAAGTCATGGGACCAACCGGGTGTGTCTCAAAAAACAGGGCACGCCCCCAGAAGGAACAAAAAAGGGTTTGCCTAATGGTTTCTTTTGCAACCATCGTAAAAGGGCTATAGGCTCAAAAAGAGACACGCCCAATTTGCGCGGGGAATGCTGGAGTCTCGCTTTGCCAGCCATGATTGGGCTCTTAGCGGAGATGCTTGGCAGGTTCATTCACAAAATTCCTACTGAGAAGGGCTTGTCTCCACATACATCCGGGGACCCCCCCCCCCCAAAAAAAAAAACAAGTCGTGGTTGTCCTTTTGGTTGTCCTTCATATTTGTCACCAAAAAAAGGCACCCACAAAACACCCACACACACACACACACACACATAGAGCGATTTTTCAGTCAGCCGATATCTTGCCTGTTGCCCCTTTTCGATATGCCTGGCATGCCATTGGTTGGTCAAGCAATACGGTGTTTACCAGGTATGCCTCAAATTTCGCCACAGGTCCAGCCGGCCCATACTACTTGTCTGCATTTGCAACAAATAACAAGATTGATTGGAACCATTCGATGTCCCATGGATCAATCGAGTCGGCCAACCCTGTCATGATCACTCCTTTCATCTTCTACAGCTTCCCCTAGGTTCCAGGTACCTTCTGAGGTACTGGAATCGCTTACCATCCTGGAGCACCCTTCGTTACATAAATTTCTGCCCGTAGCCCAAACGTATTGCAAAACCAGGGGTCGTCACCAAAATATGGTAAACGTACACTTTTTCCTGCTTTGAGCGTTTTTCCCAAAACCGGGCTGGTCGGTCCTCCAAGATGATCGGTCGCTGAATATTCAAAAGGAGCGAGCAGAAGTCGAAGTGCAAAACGAGCGCAAATATCTGCAAAACGAGCGCAAATATCCGCAAACGAGTGCATTAAAAAACAAAACACGTAACAATGCCACTCTCCTCTGCAGGATGAAAGAAGGGGATGTGGTCGAGCGTTTTTTGGGGGGCAAGCGCTTCTTGGGGGGTCGAGCAGAAATCGGTAATTCGAGCGGTTTTTTTCTCGTACCCAAAAAAAGGGCACGTTGGGTGCCTCAGGATGTTGTGTTTTAATTGAAATCTGGAGTCCCGGAATTCCTTTGTGGGATTCAAAGAAGTTTGTGCGGATGATGTTGATTCAGTGCAGCGAACATGTCCACGCTTCGAGCAGCAAGCGTCTGCGCCCGATCCCCCAAGCAATTCGTGTGTACGTAAGTGCCTGAACCGCATGCCTCAATCACTGCGCTTGGGCACCTTAAATTTGCTGCAAAGGCCCAGAAATTGTCTTGTTCGGTACCCTTAGAGCCTTAGAGGATGGGAGCCACCCCGCCTTTGCGAGGACG